TTGCCTGGGTCAGCTCTGTCCAGTGTGGGAGAGGACATACAAGCTATGCATACCAGAAGGTGAGAAACTTTGGGTACCATCTTGGAGACTGACTACCGCAACTACATGTTCGGTGTTTTTTTGTTGTTGTTTTTTTGTTTTTTTGTTTTTTTTTTTACCTTGGCCAGAATCTCAGTTTGTTCTTTACTGGATGAGGTAACACAAACTTTCATTCCCAAAGGGTCTGGACACACAGTAGTTCTGCCTCCTCTTGTTGGTAGTAGTTTTCCATTAATATTTACTATTGGACATAGAAGTACTGAGAGGCTCTTAGAGACTCCTAGATTTCGGAAGCAGTCCTCCCTCCTCTCATCCTATAGCAGCAATCCCACTTGCTTTTGCAAATCCGGATCAGTTGTTCCAGCCAGTAGATTAACTCCTTTCATAAACATAAAAAAGAGACCCCCAAATGACCCAGTGGCAGTCTCATCTTTCAAATCAATGGAATTATTGTTGCGCCCTTGATAGAAAGAAGCATTCCTCCTTCAGGAAGAAGAGCTCAAAGTCTGGGGGATGAGGGGAGCAAAACTTCTCCCAGTGGGTTATAAGATGTAATAGTTAGAGGAGCTGCTCCCACTTCCATCCCTTAATTCCTGAACCCAGCTGTGGGAGAGGCATACCATATTTTGGTCTCCAGTTTGAAACTTATACTATACTTCCTAAGAGGGAATATCTAACCTTTCAGGCTGTTGTCTCCAAATTGGCACTGTAAATAATGATGTATATATAGCAGGATCATTTAATACCACAAATTTCTTAATCAGAAGCAATATTGACGGAATACCATGATGGCAAATAAAGCATTTTGTTAAGTGATGCTGAAAAAAGTACTATGGGAAAGAAAAAATCCATATACAAATAGGTTCTGTTCCACTTAGGATAAATTTCTACTCCCTCCAAGATTGAAAGGATCCAGTATAATCAACCTGCCACCAAGTGACTGACTAATTTCTTCCCTCTTCACATCCCCGCCCCCAGAAATGGTGCCATATTAAGGGTTCAGTGTTGGTCTCTCCATTTAGCATGTTAGGTACTCGGGAATAGAGGTAGCTCAGTCAGCTATGTTTTTGAAGCATCCTCTCCATTCCTGCCACCATAACCACTTTGTTTGCTAACTTAATGAAAAAGCACTCAGTTGACAGAGAAAGAGGCTCACTGACATCTGCAGAAAGTGCCATTTTCCCACCTGATTATTGAGAGCCTCCTCTACAGTGACTGCCTATTGATGGACATTAATATGAAACACGAATATCTTCATCCTCTGTGCTCATTCTGAAAGATCCATCCGCATACCTCTTCGCCAGACAGCCTTCCCAGCAATCTTCCCATCAATTCTTTCCAAGACCTAACTCTTCAGCCAAGCCATTAGAATTTATGATTCTAGCCACTTCTGAATCCAAACAGAGTGGACAACAAAATTTATTGTTCCAAGTTCTGCCAATAGGAGAGTTCCCCTCTGTCGCTCCCTTTCTGGGCCGCCAGTAAGCGGGGCTATAATGTTGCAGATATTCACTTTCAGTTGTTGGAAACATATGGTATGAAAACATTTACAAACCAGGCCCAAGTATTTTACCTCTTCAGTGAGCCTATCATAGGAAAACCCTTCGAAGTCATAGTCGTGAGTTGAGGGAGAGGAGGCAAGGCAGCCAGGATGGTGTCAAAGGAGAATGAGCCACTCACTCACGCACCCTGCTTGTGCAGGCCAGAGTTGCTTAAGCCCGAACCCTTTGTAGTAATTCTGCTTGATGCATATATCTAACTTCATGGTTTAACAGACAGATAATATCCAGTTAACCACAGGGAGTTTAGGTTGCCTGGTCATTTATTGTCCCATGCTAAGGGTCTATAAGACCCAGTAGTAAGTAGCTATTTGTCAAAAGATAATAAGCTATCTGCAGAAGAGCATATGAATTTTTTCCAGAACCTTAGAGATGTGTGACGTGATTCTTTTACTGTACTTGCCAGATACCCCACACTAGACTCTTTAAGTATCCTTGAATCTGGGTGCCCCAGCAGAATAACAGCTTGCACTGTGCCCGAGACTTGCTACAGGGCCTTCTTTTACTCTTATCCCCACTCAAAACTCAGCCATATGGGTTACCGAGTAATTGGGCCAAAGTAACAAACTAAAGGTGGCTTTTGTTGCTTCCAAAACTTGAAATGGCCTACCAAGCTTTGTGCCTATTTTTGAGTGATAGGTGGTGGTAATGCAACTATGTCTTCGATCTTCAGAAACTTCACTGAGATGGCAGACCCCAGACTTTTCATGGGGTCTATCTCCCAGACTCTGGTTCAGAAAGCTTGACTAAGGCATTTACAGTACTTACTACTTACTATCTCCTGCACATCAGATTCAATCTGCACGTCATCGATGTAGTGGGCCAGTGTGATGTTGTATGGTGTCAAGATGACCAAGATCACTGCAGACTGTAATATGGCTGAGAGCAGATGAGCTGCCTTAGCATGAAGCAAGATTGTGAAGGTGTACTACTGACCCTGTCAGGGGAATGCAAACTGTTTTTGGTGGTCCTAGCATATTGTTAAAATTGAGGAAAGGAAGAACAAGTATTTCTCAGGAACTGTGTCAATTTGTTCCAGCAAAGATATTACATCTAAGAGAGCTGCTGCCAATAAGTCACCCTCTGATTAACGGTAAAATAATCCACAATCCTGCTTCGAGATCTATCTGCCATCTGCACGGACTAAATAGATGAAGTAAATGGAGATGTAATAAGAATGAATACTTCTGCATCATTCAAGTATTTTATGATGGTAATTACCTCTGCAATTCTAATGATGGCCTTACTCTTTTGGTTTACTATCCTGGTAGGGAGGAGAAATTCCAATAGCTTCCTCTCCACCCTTCCTACTCTAATGACTCCTAGTGCATAAGTGAGAGAGCTAATAGGGGATACAACCAGTTGTTTAGTAAGTCTTTAACAATTATACATTCAAGAACTGGGGGAAAACACAGTGTGGGCTCATGGATCCACTAAACCTACTGTGATTCAGACTTGGCCTAGAACTCAATTTATGTTAGACCAGCAGCATTTTGTATCCCTAGCAATTGGAATCAACTCAGAGGCAGTGTCCAGTAACCCCACACAGGTCTGGGTATTTCTAAACCGCAAAGCACATTCACTCTAGAAAATGGCCACAGGTCCCTTAGGGATGGTGTAGAGGAAAACTTTTAAAAGTGTTTCAAGGTCTTTCTTTAAGAGAACCCAGCCTTCCCTTAACTTAAGGGGCTCTGGACCCATGAACTGCTTTAGGTCAAGAAACTGAATGAGAGGCTATGACTCTCCTTTGTGGTAGACCTGAACTTATTTTCATTCATTCAACTAATATGTATCAACACATTACTCTTAGTATACTTGGTCCTTAACATTATAAAAGAAAACTAATGATCTAGTCTATCTGATGAAAAATGTCATTATAAAAACTTTCAAGTAGATCTATATCCAATACTATTGATAAACCTGGTCTTGAAATAGTAGCTAATTAAGCCATCTAATGGCAAAAATTTTAAAGTAATTTCTTTACCATCCTTTATATTTTTTTCTGTGTATATTTTAAAATGTACAGTAGTAAATCTATGTAGATTATAAATATACATGTTATAGGTGTACACAAAAGTGTTTTACTGGCAAGAATGTCTGATGAAGTGTTTGGAAGCACCAAACCACAATCACATGAGAAATTAGTTCCTAAGTTCAGTCTAGGCACCTAACCTTCTGCCTTTATTCCCAGTTAGTTCTGGATCTCAAACTAGATGGTTAGATAGTTATATACAGAGTTATATCAAGTTTTCATTTACACCTAAACTAAGAATTAAGGAAAACTATAGTACGATTAAATGACATTATTTTTAAAACATTATAAAGAATACAAACTAAGTCATTCTGCCTACCCATAAAAACCTGTTAATTAAACCTGTCAAATCACGGCCATCTTGCCTTACCTGGATGCAGAGACATAAAATATAATCTCTCGGGAGCTAGGACAAATTAGTGTAGATGTTAGAGGCTTTGTTCTTCCCCTCTTGTGACCAAATCAAAGTTGTGATGGAAACATGGAGCAAACAGCAAGCAGAGTCACCTGGGGTCTAGATGAGCAGCCTTACAACTAGGGAGAAAAATAAGAAATCACCCTGCAACAGTAGGAGGTAGAAGGGGGCGAAGACACGAGGCTGCCCAGCCAGAGCGACTGAGTGGGACGGATGCCATAGCAGCGGCAGCTGTAGATGCCTCTTAAAGGAGTTGTGTCCGCCACTGGACTTCCATAGTGACAGATTCACTCGCTTTGAGCACCAGCGCCAAGTGGCTGCACGGGGGGCATTAGGGACTTACAGGGGTATATTGAGTTGGAGCGAGGGCCTGAGGCAAGGCTTCGTTAAAAGAATACCTAAAATTTGTGCATATTAGCATGGTGAAATGAATACCATCAGTGTACATTTCGCCTGCTTTATCATCTTGTCTACATTTGATTTAGTAATCCTATTATTGACAAATGTTCTTTTCTCACAGGAACTAGACTATATCCCCCTTTTGTTCCAAAAATTTTGCCTTTTAAAAAATGTTCCTGTTTAAACAGAATCGTGAAATGACAATCTAACACTAACCTGGCTTGCCAGATAATATAGCCTGTTATTCTCAATGTAATTAAAGCTATAATTCCACTTTCCACCAAAATATTTAGCTGAGAATGACATTTCTGTAGTAATAAATTTGAATTGTCTCAAATTTCAGAAGTCATTCGTTTCAGCCATTACTAAGAATTTATTTGTGATGTACTTCGTACCCGATCACATTTTAATGGTACAGGTTAAGAACGACTGTGTGAAGGGAGCTCAAAATCAGGAACTACTAGTCAGGCTCTGCTTTTCCAACAACCTCATACTTCAATCTTACAGTGTGAAAACATTGTAATTTTGTCCTGATGGACGATTAAAACAACTGGGGTGTAGGCTAAAAAAGACAAGTTTTATTCAATTCCCCATTGATGTTTTAGACACTTTTAAAATAACATATTCACAGCCAACCTTAAAGAGAGTACTCTTTTGAAATTTTTGTTATTGGAAGTTAACATTCACATTTAAAAGAAAATCTTCCTCCTTACTGAACAAATGGAACTCAAAAAAAGCAAATAGTTCCCCACCCCCTTATAAACCTTATAAACAATTACGTTTTCTAGGGAAACTGAGTGAAATGATTTTCAACCAAGAATTCTCTATCCTGCTAGGTCACCAGTGCAACAAACACAAGGGCAGACCCACTGGTTGAACCCCCCAAAATGTACTTCCTACACACTTTTTGCTCCACTACAGCAAAAGAGGAAACCAAGAAAGAGTAAAATGAAGAAACTAGGAAACGTAAGTGAAAAAGCAAGAAGTGGCTGGATGACAGCTGAGCAACACACTCAGCAGAAAGCCGTTCGACGCTGGATGACAGTCGGCTGCAGAAGTACCTCCAAGAGTAAGAAATGTCCTGATATCACGTGGGAAGTTATATGATGAGATCCTTTACAGAGTTCATGGAATATGGGGCATGATAATGTCAGATGCTGAAAGAAAATGAGGTCATTATTAACATCCAGAATAACAAAAAGGTAGTATAGCATGCTAACTGGTTCAGTGATTTATAAAGCTTAGTCATAATAAAAATACTGAATTGAGGATGCATAAAGATTGAAATATTAATATGTTGGAAAAATGGGGTGAGTAATATAAGCAAGCAAAACTACTATTCTCTCCAGTAGGAAGTCAATAGTAATGAATGGATCAAAAGGTAGCAGCATATTCATATTTAGAAATATAAATTCTAAAACCACTACATGAGTTGAAAGAGGAAGTTTCTTTTGTGAATGTGAAAGAAAGACTACTATGTTTTTGTCACAAACTTTCTGACACTATCTGACTTTTTAAACTACTTGCAAATAATGTTGGGGGCTGAGGGATGGCAGTGAGGCAGAAAGAGATGGCAACTTTGGATCAAAAAACAACAAAAATCACTAAGAAAAGTGAACACTGTCACACCTAAACACATTCACTTTTTTTTTTTATATATATAATTTTAGGCAAAGGCTTATAGGTCATTATTCATTTACAAAAATAAGTTCAGTTTTTTATTCTAAGTATGTCCACAGTTTTAAAAAGAAATTTAGTTTTCACATTTGAATGTCTTTCAAAGCATCTAAAAGATTCCTCATCCTTCTGCATTCTGCTTTTCAGAAAGTACTTTTGAGGTCGATCTGTTCCGGATTCTTTTTCTTTTTCTTTTCTTTTCAGAGGCAGATGGTTTTGTATCCTGTGCTTTTTTCTTTTTCTTCAAACAGCTAAGAGGATTGGGGCCACTTATTTTCTTGCGCTTTTTTCTTCTCTGTTCAGGGTTTTTAACTAAACCCTGTTCCTCTTTGAGCTGCTTGATACTTTGCTTCTCATGGACTGAGACGAGCTGACCCGACTCTACTGCTTTAACAAAGGCAATTGTTTTGGGAGAAGGTTTGTCCAAGACTATAGTGTTCTGAATAATAAACATAAGAGGAACTCCAGGCTTTTTCTTTACTTTCATAGACAAATTCTGATCCTATTAAAAAGAAAAATATAATTATTTAGTTCAAGTTTGTCAATTAAATAAGATGCCTTCGATAGGTTTCTATGGACTTCACGAGGGTTCTATTAAAAAGACATCACAGAATTTATTTTTCAAGTCAGTATCTCTCATAATAGGAGTACAGTATATTTTTAAAGGAAGGAAAAGCATAAAAACTGAGCACAAACAGTTACGTGGTAACAGTGTGAAATGGATTTATCAATACTCTAGGACCATGAATTACAAACTAATGCAAAGGTAGACATGTTAGGTGGCGTCCCTTGCTTCTGCTCTAAGATGTGCTCTAGAAGGGGTCAAGAATGCTTACAGAGGACAAACAGAGAAGTAAGAGTTAGCTGACTCAGATTCTAGATTCAGCTTTGCCTCTAATTATGTAATTTCACAGTTCTGAAAGCATATTTAAGCAAATCTGTATGAATGTGAAGAACTTCATTAACATCAACCCTGAGTCTCTCTTTCCCCACCTCCCAGTCTCTTTAAAAACCCAGTCTCTTTCCCCACCTGTGAAGCCACAAAATAATGATGAGGATTTCCCTCTTCAACCATGGAGAGCAGGCAGTCCGATCCACTCACTGCATTCTTGAAATGGGGACAATTTCGAACCTGGCATTTTTGTGCAATCAGTTTTGCCCCATATAAGTCTTTTCCTAATGTTTCTAACTCTTTTAACACACACCTGAAAAATAAAGTGTTATTAGTGGCTCACAATTTTAACAGAAACATATTGGTTGTTCACATAAAAGTATAAAAAATAATTTTTAAAAACTACAACTATACCAACATAACCTGAATGTCATATTATAGCCACAAACATATAGGAGCCATTTCACTCTTAAAAGATTCACACACCATATAGAAAGAATAATGATAACAGCTAAAATGTACTGAGCACTTATTATGTGGAGGCAGCATGCTAAATAATCTTTATATAAATTCTTGCTTAACCTCAAAACAGCCCTACTTTAAAATTATCCTGATTTCAGAGCACCTCATTCTGATTTAAGTAATATACCCAAATTCAAATTAGTAAGTGGTAAAGCTGAAATGTAAATACAAGTAGTTTGGCAATGGTTGCCTTGCCTCAACCATAATGCTATGTGCTTGTACTTTAAGTACAAATTGGTACACCTTCAAAATATTTTCAGTTATGAAAAGTAAAAATTCTCAAGTCATTGGGTTGTTGAAAATTACAAATTCCTTTCATTCTATATTTTCATATTAATATAAGCCAATGTTTTTCCAAATATCACCTATAAATGACTCAGATCAGAATGACAGTGATATTAAATTGTATTAATTTCTAGCTCCTCTTTCTCATCCCCAAATCTGCACCTCTTGTGGAGTCAAATATTAGCACTTCTTCCATAACACTAGAAAAAAATAAAGATAAAAGGAATTGAGTCAAAGATATTTTTAAACTTACTCAGCCTTTGCCAGACTCCTTTTATCACCCCATTAGTTTTTGTTTTTTTTAAGAAAAGAGATTTTTGTTTTCTACAGTCATCACTTTTGACCTCTATTTGAGTTTCAGACCCAAACTGCCAGCTATTTAGTGCATATTTCTTATGGATGTCTTGCCATCGGCTTTGTAAATTCACCATGTCTAAAACCAAACTAGTTTCCTGCCTCCAAACTTTTCCAGGGCTTGCTATCTTCTTGAATTTATTATCTCCCAAACACACTGGGGGGAAAAAAATTAGAAATCCTATTTGGTCTTTTATCCCTCACCTTTACTCCTACTCCAATAGCTGTTAGTCCAATCTTAGCCCTTGGTATCTATCTCAGTACTGTCACCTTGTAGAACCGTTAGGTTTCTGCCTTTTACCACCCAGATTCAGGCTCCCATCATTTCTTGATTGGACAACCACAAAATGGGTTTGCCTGTCCTCACTCTCTTGCTTCTCTAACATGCCCCTCACATGTGTGTAAATACCTACAAAGATTGGATGTATGAAACAGCACATGTTAACAGTGGTTACTCACTGCTGTGATATTATGGGTCATTTTAACTTCCTTTTTTCGATTTTTTAAAATAAATATTCTTACTAAGTTTCTTAATAATGGTTCTTCATGCTCTAGCCTCAATTTACCTTCTTCCCAGCTTCATTTCCAACTATTTCTGTGCTCTAAACCCTTTCCCAGGCACTTCACAACTCCATTCCTATGTTCAAAAGATCCCTACATGAAATGCCACTTTTCTCTTTTCTGTCACTCAAAATAGTCCTTCCCGTCAGAAATAAACTGTGGCTGGGCTCTAAAGTTATCTCCTTCATGAAATCTCCATATTCCAACCACCCTCCCTCCCCTCCCCTCAAAGTTCCATCCTAATGTTTCCATACTGATGAAGTGGGGAAACTAGACCTAGAGTCAAAACATGTCAATTGGAGAATGACATGCATTATCTGGGCCATGAGGACTGAGAGTCTGCTGTTCACTAAGTTATCTTCAGTGGCTACATAGTGCTTGGAATGTGGCTTGTAACTTAATACAAGACAGTGAATAAACAAATAACCTTAGGCAAAGTTCGTAATCTCAAATTCTGACTCATCTTTTTGAGAATCGAAGATGTTACCTAACAGGGCAGTTGTGAGGACATTTTAAAATTTAAATTAGTAAGACTTATGCAAACAACAGTTCCATCTAAAGGAGGTAGGTTTTAGATACCAGCAAACGCTCTACGTGCACTATACCTACTCGTTTAGTCCTTACAGCAACCTTGCAAGTAGTTATGTTTTTTTGTTTGTTTGTTTTTAACAGATGAGAAATCCAAGGCTCAGAGAAGTTAAATAACTTGTCTGAAATAACAGAGCTGGTAAAACTGGGACCAAGAATCAAAGTCAAGTCGGACTACGAAGCACATGGTCTTATTCCCCAGGCTAACGACATGTGAATAGTCAAGGCATTGTATCTTCTGACTAAATGATAGCTACACCCCTGAGCTCCATAGGCCACCACCACCTGACTGTCAACTCCTCGTGGGCGGGGCGCCTTACACCTGGTGGCTCGTGTGAGCAGCGGCCTCGTCTCAACCACACCCGCCGGATCCCCCGCGCCACCGGCTCGGCTCGGCTCGGCTGAGCCCAGCTCAGCCCAGCCCGACCCACCTGGTAGTGCACAGCTGTGTCTCCCCCATGAGGTAGCGGGGCAGCTGCTCCCGCAGCTGGATGCGGCCCCGCAGCGCCGCCTGACAGAAGGTACCGTCCAGCAGGATCTGGTACGGCTCGCGGACTCCAAAATTGTTGCGGAAGAAGCCGAGATGCTTTTTGGCGTGTTTCTGCCTCGTGATCTTCATGCCTGGCTTCCCTCAACCAAGACCACGAAGCTGCAACAAACGCCTTCCGCACGGCCAGCTACCGGCGATACCCACTTCCCCCGGATATGAAGCTCCCTTTGCCCCGGAAGCAAACGCCCCGGTCACCCGCGCCTGCCGGCAAGTTACCATTATCCCCAGGCGAGCGCGCGCCTCAGCCACGGTGCTCGCGCTTTAAGGGGCGCGCCCTGGGGGGCGGAGCTTGCGCCTGCGCAGGAAGACCACTGGGTGTGCGAATGCGTACGGGGATGCACATGCCCAGTCGTGGGCTGGAGTAAAAATCTGCACGCTGACATTAGCGCTTTAGTGGGCAAGCATCTATAAGATTGGCAATATAGTAATAATCAGCGATAATATTGAGCCTTAATATGTTACAGGCATTATTCTAAGTAATTTACCCTATTTTATTCCCTTTAATGTTTTTAAATCCCAAGCGTAGGAAGGCGAGGGATCAAAGTATATTGGCAATTATGGGCCGGTTTGGGCTGCTTGCTTTCCTATAAAGAACTTAAGTAATTAAGCATGTGTACTAAGGACACGTGGTTCTTTAGCGTCAGAAGTCACTGGAGCCCAGCCCTCCTGCCTGAAGGTCAAATGTTCTTGCTAGTCCTATCCCCAATCCCCCAATAGGATCCCACCCTCTCAAGACTATCTTAACTCACTCAAACGGCATACTTTTCCTAGCACAATATTGGGAGGAACTCGAGAGGTTAGTTTTCTAAGAATCAGAATCCCTAAACTAGAGTCCTAGTTCTGCCCATAAACCTAGCCATTTGACCTTGAGCAACTCCCCGAGAAAGCTGGGTTCAGCTTCCTCACTGTCAAATAAGTTGGCAGGACTAGAGTTCTTTTTAAAACCCTTTTTATGTCTATAGATTCTGAGTCAGGAAGACTACATACTGGGCTCGTAACAGGAAAGTACAGAGTCGACAGAAAGTTTAGGAATCTAGGAATCGTTTGGTCAACTTGATTAATGAAAGTGAATCAGAAAATTTTGAGTTCCGCAGTAGCTAATTGCCAAGTATCCACTTCAAGGCAAAATAATCAAAGAATAGGGAGTATGGTATTTTGAATTTTTGTCCTGGCCTGGAATCTGTCCCAGATTTAGTTTTGGCTAAAGATAGAAAGAACTAACAGAAAAATGATTTACAAAGTGATTGAGATGTATTATTTGCAGTTGAGGTTTTAGTTGAAGATATAGATTTGTGGAATTGGAACTAAAATATTCTATAATGTCCTGATTCCCAGCACAACATCGCTTAGATGGTTGCTTTTATTTAACTGAAAGTAAATTTAGGAATTGGAAGCCATGAAGAGTTATTGCAGAATTGAGCTCATGGTTCTTGAATATCATTACTCACTACTTTACAGTTTGAATCCTCTCTTTATCCCTGTGTGCCAACTCCCCGCTCTAACTATATATCCACCACAGAAAGAGAAATTTTACCACCCTAGCTTTGCAAAAACACTTAAAACATTTACAAAAATAAGCTCACAGATTTATCTACTAGCTCCTTCCTTTTGGCCACATTTCACTATTAAGAAAAATGTGATCTAGGTTAAGAATTTGAGTCATATTCTAGTTATTTTTTAATTTACTAAACTACAGCATAATTTTCTTCGAGCTCTATGTGTATGGCAGTGCCATTTGCAAACATGACCCTTATTTTACAAACATAGAGACAGTCTATAATGGTGAAGATCAAGTTTAAAACAGAGCTTTCTATTACAGCAGTGTTTTCAAAACGTGATCCTGGGACAGGCAGACAAAGCTCTTAATGTGCTTGTTTAAAATGCCCATTTCTGATTCAGAATGAGTATTAAAGAGGAATACCATTTAGACAGGAAGTGACATTTATTACAGTCTCCTAAAGTCATTATTATGTATATTAGTGTTCCTGAAGGACCATTTGCAATAAAGCATCACTGCTTATCCAGTGAGACTTTTTCATTAAGTGGTTCACTGAACACTTTTTAGCATGATGCCAAATGACTTAGTATGACCACAACCAAGGCAGAAGCCAAATATTGCCATTATTGAATAAAGTATTTTGATATAAGTTTAAATTTGAAATTTTACTTTGAAAATTATTATTAAAAATTTGGGGTAAAAACTTTATAAACCCCCTGGAGCGCAAGCAATGTGAAGAAAAGGCAAGAACGACCCCAGACAGAGCAAAGGCCTCACGCCGTTGCATCCCTGTGTCCAGCGCCTATGTCCCACGGCTGTTGCCATCGTGCCCATCAGAAAGACTGAAGGGGATGCTGAAGGAGGTAGGGCTGGACCACAGAGGAAATTGCTGAACCTGCTCCTCCAAAGCCCAAGCTCAAGCCTAAAAAAGGTCCCTGCAAAGAAGGGAGAGAAAGTACCCAAAGGGGAAAAGGGGAAAACCGATGCTGGCAAGGATAGGAATAACCCTGCAGAAAATGGAGATGCCAAAACAGACCGGGCACAGAAAGCTGAAGGTGCTGGAGATGCCAAGCGAAGTGTGTGCATTTTGGATAACTTGTGGTGACTGTACAGTTTGAAATACTATTTTTTATCAAGTTTTCTGAAAATGCAGAATTTTGTTTACTTTTTATTTTTAAAGCTATATCGTTAGCCTATAGAACACTTCATTGTTGTTTTTTGGAGAAGAATGTCTCCAACGCTGGATTGACGTGAGGAAAAACTAATTTTGAGAGACTTCCCTTGGTTCCTGGGAGGAGGGATCCCTTGATGTTGATACACATTGGTACAAACACCCCATGGGATGGAAAAACTAAAATTCGTTTTTGTGTCCTTTTCTCCCTCTCCACCTTAAACACAGACTCGACTCCCTTAAACTCAGACCTGTTGGTTATGTTAGGCAATCCAAACTTTCTAGTGTCTCCACTGAGATGGCATCCCTCAAAAGACAATGTTTTGTTTTTTGTTTTTTGTTTTTTTAGATTGTGGGTAGCCAGATTAATAATTCTGTCATTTTAATTTCATTTCCTGATAGTCAGGGTTAGCTTGTGAAAAGTTGTTAAACCACACGCTCAAATGTCAAACCTCACTCTAAACTTTCGCTGTTCAGAGCATCAGGTGAAGACTTCACTGGGTTTCACGGCAGCTTTCTGATTTTGGTAGCCCATTAAAGAAGGGAGTTTGAAAGTCATTGTATACTGTTAATGATGTCTGCCCATGTCCTGCTTGAAATAGCATGATTGTTCATGAAAAGTATCTTTAATAAAGCTGGATCCGGTTTGACTTAGAAAAAAGTTAATAGTCATTGAAAAATTTTTTGATGATTATTACTGTAGGAAGAGTAATGTCTCAGCATTGCTAGCTGCTAGTTTTTTTCTTAGGTCAGTACAGTGGACATTTTCCATGCCAAATACACATTCAGCCGAGGTAGTAGGGGATAATTAATTAATTTTTATTTTTTCATACTCTTCATATTCTTTATGATGTCTGGATCAAATATAATTTATAATGTGATGTTGTACCTAATTGAGAAGTTTTTTCTTCATGAAATTTTGATGAAGCCTAGTTGACATGAGAATGATTTTTTCTTGCAAGGTGTGACTAATTTCCAAATGAGACTTTTTCATGAAAGATTCATGGCCTAAATGGAATTAAATAGGCAAACATTAAATACAATTCATAAAGATTACTTTGTTTAATTTCATAAATGTAGTATATCAGATAATACAACAAAGATATCTATGACATTAGTCTTACATTCATATTTAAATATTTATAAACACTTAACACCCATTAGCTAAAAAAGAATAGTATATTCCTCCTAACATCTAGCTAACATACTCTAAATAAAAAAATTTTGCTAAATAAATCATTTAAAACAACTTAGGTAAACTGGTTTGTACTGAGGGTCTATTAAGTTCTTCACTAAAATCCCCCAGGATAGACTGCATCCTGGACTCAGCGTGAATTTTCATATATAGTGGAAGGTGTTATAAAGGTTGGACCTGGAAACTGCCACATTAAAAAAAAAAAAAAAAACTTGTATGTTTTTTTCAGAGTACAGAAATAACACATGCCTAGTATAACAAGTGGAACAATGGAACAACACAAAGACATTCACCCCCTCTCTCCTCACACAGATAACACATGTTGACCACTACTGAGTATCTTTCTGCAATTTGTCCCTTTTCATTTACTTATACAGTTGACACTTGAATCTGTGGGGTTTAGGGATGCCAGCCCCCACATAGGATTCTGTCACAAAAAAAAGAGAAGAGATACTGGGTGGCAATTCACAGTCTGTGCCACATCCATTATGTTATATGTGGTGATTTTGTGGGAAATTTCATGTAACCATTAAAAATAATAAATGAGAGCTGTGTTCATACTTTGTATATACTGTGTATAACTTTTGACTACCCCAAACTTAACTACAGTCATCCCTTGGTATCCACAGTGAATTGGACCCCCATACCCAAATTCACAGATGCTCACGTCCCTTATATAAAATGGTGTGGAACAATGTTGGCCTTACAAGTCTGAGGATTTGCAGATTACAGATACTGTTTTTGATCTATGGTTGACTGAATCCAGAAATGAGAAACCTGGGGATAGTTGGTAGGCTGACTATGTATTTATTGAAAAGAATCCACATGTAAGGGGACCCACGCAATTCAAACCTGTGTTGTTCATGAGTCAACTGTTCATCATTTACATACATATATGCATACATATATAGAGATTTTTGTCACTCTGTTACTCAAAAATGGAATCGTATTTTATCACTTCTATGAATTTGCTTTTTTTCACTCAACAATCTTTGTGGAAACCCTCCTCCCGCACATACCCCGAATCAATTGGCAGAGCTCTCATTTATTATTTTTAATAGTTACATGAAATTTCCCACAAAACCACCACATGTAGCATAATGGATGTGGCACAGACTGTGAATTGCCACCCAGTATCTCTTCTCCTTTTTTTTAGTGACAGAATTCCAAGTTTGTTCTGGATAGTAGTGTGCCCAGAGAATCCATTTCTCAGCCTTCTGTGCAATTAAGTGTAGTCAGATGATGAAGTTCTAGCCAACACTGTAAGTGTTACAAGGGACTTCTGGGAAGGTTACTTAAA